ATAATTAAGAAACTCAGCAATGTAAAATGAAGTACTACCATTCGGAAAAGCGTAAGGTAATTACGCTTCAAAATTAATCATAAAATTCGACGATTTATAAAAACGTGTTGCGACTTGACAAAGCGTAAGATTCTTTCATATTTAATCAACAAACTAAGGAGGTTAGGATAAATACAGTAAGCCAACCTTGAAATGCAAATGAATCTATGAAACGTCACGGTATGACGTCACGACTCATCCTCAATGGCAGCTGCCATAAGAGGACTTCTGGTTGGTTTTGTTTAGATTCTAATCGGTATTCCCTACATTTTAGCTATTCAACAGTGAGCATTTATAAGCTTTCCTTTCTAATGTTAATATTTAATGTAAAAGTTTTCAACTTGGAAAAAAATCAGAAGGATTGCAAATAACTCTTTCAGATTTAATCAAATCTAGGTTCATGAAAATGTGTAAATCATATATTTATAACACAAATGTATACACGGTAAAACCTGGAAGATGAGTGGACGTTTCAATGGTATTTTATGCAGATCATGCCTAAAAACACTTTTATTTGCTATTTTCCATTGCGATGCTATCCTTGAAGAGTTTCGTTTTTCACGCCATTCCATAAGTAATGTAGCCTTTTGAAGCAAGTTCTGAGTTCTGAAGAAATAAAAAATAAGTAAGACTAATAATTAAATATATATTCGCCATTAGAATCAATAATATATATCTACTATTGTAATATGTTTTTATGAAATTTTAAAAGCCCCAGGCAGCTTGAAGTTCAGTTCCAGGTTCGTATTTCCTTCAATTAAACAAATTGTACACGCACAGTACCACCAGTCACTAGATGGATCATTAGAAGGAGAAGCATGGAATAGTTTCTACCTTCCCTTTCAATTAGCATAAATAAGTGTACGTGGAATCAAAATGCCAGGCTTAGGTACTATTCCAAATTCCCTCAAAAAAGGATGGGCAATTGAAGACGATTAATTAAAGTCTTCTTCCAAATGAACAGCTGTAGGTGCTTTTTTCCTTTTAGAGCTTTCAACACATCATTATCAAAATAAACAAGACATCCCCAGCGATGGTAACTTTCAAGCTAAGGTAATCTTGTCGAAATTTATATAACCATTATTGACACCTGCGAATATTACAAATGCCTTTATTATACACTTCCTTCGCATTTTACAGCATTATATGCACTATTACCTTTTTTGTTGTCATAAAGCATTGCATGTTTGATGCTCTTCGGTGAAAGCCATTAGCTGAGAGGGTTCTCAAAGCAACAGAGTAGTATCCACGTTTTTGCAAGCAAACATTTATCTGAAGAAGCTGTTTTTTCTCAGTAATAGTTATGCATCCATGAACATCAGGTGTTTAAACATGTTATAATGTATTTTAACATATCTCAAGAAGCTGTTTTTTCTCAGTGGTATTTATGCACACATGAAAATCAGGTGTTTAAACATGTGAGAACGTGTTTCAACACATCTCCGAAAAACACAATTATTGGAAAACTTCATAATTTGTTTGCAGACAGAATTTAGTTGAATAGTAAATTTGACCTTTTTATATGTTTATGACGATACACAAGAAAGCAGCTTGTTAGTTACATTGGAATTTCACGGTTTTTACTATGAATAATATGAGTAAGAGCCAGGTTTCTTTAGTAAATCCTGCATAAAAGCGTTCCTGCTCCTACGCAAATAGTTGTCATATGTTTTGCCATAATGAAAATAAACCAAACCATTAATTACCTCGCTTTAAATCATTATAAGGAAATAGAGGTATGCAAATATTTTATGCAAAATTGCTAATTTGAAATGACATATTGTGTTAAATATTATTAAACTGAAATTATTAGCGTTGAGTCTAAATGAAAATTATCCTTCTTAAAAGTGTTTATAGATTCAGAATTACCGCACAGTTTCATAAGAGTTCTTTCCTTTGTTTGTGAATCATCTGGCAACGCCTAGAGAGATACTTCTTAAGTCTATCCTATCTTGGGAGTAAATCTCAACATACGGAATGGTGGAATAGAGAAGCAAGGCAGATGCACAAGACCTAAAGCACAATAATCTTACTATGCCATTGTTCAAGACTTTCGCATCGTCGGTGAGAGCGGGATGCAGATAAAGCCGAATTCTAAATCCAGACTATTGTGGTCAAGAAGAAGCTGACCTCTTTATTGTGGAAAAGTTTACTCTGGCAAGATAAAATTGCTTGGCCTTGGTTTGAGGGGTCGGCTTAAATATTGCAATGTGTTTTGAATCTATATATCTTGAGTGTAATACGCTCAAAATTTGAAAGTAACTGAGTGCTAAATTGAAAAATATTTAATATTTTTTTGATTATGATTAAATAAGGAACAGTAATGTTTAATTAATTATTTCTTAAATTTGTATTGAGTATGGCAGTATATAAATTTAGGATATACTAGTTAAGTTACGTTTAAGATGTTTATTCTTATCCCATTTTCTGTTCTACTGCGGATGTATGTTAAAAAATGAATCTATTGACATATTATTTTTAATATAAAAGCTTTTACTTCAGAATATAAAAGCTTATTCCGAAGTTAGGCATTTAACATTTGTACATTCTAGTTTTTGTTAGATAAAACCAAATGTTTACTACAATATTATTTCAGTAAATATTTTAGATACTATTTTGCTGCAATTATTAATCGAAATGCAATAGTCATACTAACAGTATGTACTCCTTGAGTTCAAAAGTAGATTTTTCAAATACAACTGAGAGACTCATATCATACTACAGTTTTCTTTTAATTTGAACATTTTAAAAATTTATTTGAAATATCACTGCTTTTCCTAGCTAGTGATTTCTTTCTAAACCTGTAATTCAAATTTCTTTCGTGAACATTTCAACTTTTTGAATATTAAAAATTATGCATATGGTAGGGGGAGCATAATAATTTTAAAGAGGATGAGATGGGGCAAAGCACAAAAATGGTTGGGGAACATTGATATAGATGGTCGGTATTAGGTCATACATATCGCTAATTCAAACATCCAGACAGAGCTTACGTTTATTCACAGGATATCTTCATTCTTGTAGTATAATAGAGGCGACATATAAGCTGACAGCATTCCATGGTCACCGAACCATTTGGACACTGGTGACGAAATATGCGAGAGAAAGCAATAAAGAAGAAAAATATAAATATATTACTTTTAATATCGCAATAATTAAGTGGTTACTGGAAAAAATGCATTTTAATGAATATTTAATAACTACTCACACTACTAAAAGCCGAATAAAACGATTTATTTCTCCCCCCCTCCAAAAAAAAGAGAGGCTTATATTTTTAATTCTATAACCTGTTTATAACCCGCTATCGAAATTAGTCACCAATCTCTTAAATATTATTTTCATTATTGTGGGTAAAATATTTACAATTTAAAATGAACTTACATCGACTAAAGAAGGTACTGAAAATTAGTCATCAACCTCTGATATATTGTACGAATAATGCTGCATTTGTTATTTTTTATGCAATTTTTAATAATTTATAAGTATCCTACTAATAAGACACACACATGACTTTTAACCGTGTGTATTGTCTCATGATTTTAATATATAGTTTGACGTATAATAATTTGTTTAAAGGAATTCTACTTATTATAAAATATTAATTTTTCATGCCTCACTCATCTGTTGACATGGTATTCAGTATCTAATTTTTTAAGCAAATGTTGTACCTTCTGCGTCTTCAAAGAATCATTGAGATGCCGTTCCTATTTTAATTATTTACAACCCACGTAATAATTAGCAATAATAAGGTTCAGATTAATGGAAAGCACATGTTTGCTTCTTAACTTGGCATTTTATTATCTTTCTATTCTGTGGTGGTAATAACAGTGACTTCGAAAGCTCGAAATTCATTAGAAAAATTTCTTTTCAATCATGCAAGTTATTCGTTTTTCCTTCATTAAAAATTCTATCTAATTCATTCATCCAGCACCCTTTATGGGGGTTTAAAAAATTGTCTGTTTTGATCTTAAATAGCAATCATTCAAAACATATTTCCTTCCAGAAGTGGTATTATTATTCGTATTAAAATTGGAAGACATATATATATATACATATATTACTCTCTACACATTAATATTTGTTAAGACTGTCTCTTTACCGAGAACCATTCTAATTGATTGATTGATTAATTGTATTGATTGAGGATTTTTTTATAATCATTATAATTTTTTTGTCTCCCGCATAAAAAATCCTAATGACTCAATAGTATTACCTATATTAACAGAAATTTCAATTTATTTATTATGATAATATCTATTCCCTTGTTCCTGAACATAATTACAAATGAAAAAGGACTTTTATGACTCATTTTCGTTCAAATACTTATATACGTTAAAGCTGAAATCAAGCAAATTTATTATGCATGTTATTGTTTTATTATTGAGGTGTTACGAAAGCGTGTATTTTAGGGCAGGTATACGTATTATATGCCCCCCCTTAATATACGTATAATTTTCTAAGCTGAAAAATAGGAAGTTTCCTCATCTCCAGAAAATAAAACTGGATAAGAAGAATACAATCAAATCTGATATCTATCTATTATTAAAGCTTAAAGAATAATTATTATAACTGAAATTAATTTTCTTCTTTTCGAAATTAATTTTCTTCATTAAAAAAGTTTTAAACATTCTAATCAATTAGAATTTATGAATAGCTGATAACACCCGCTGTAAAGAGAAATGCTATCTATATTAATAAATACATCAATTAAATTATCAATAGTATATGCGTTATATTGAAAATTTAAGTGCTTACTAAATGAATGTACTATATTATTCACAAATCTTTGGTACTTCAAAATTTCAGATATATTTTCTGATCTCGAAAAGGATAAATCTCTCTTATTGAAACCGCCATTGAAGTCTCTTAATGTTATTGAGTATCTGTATCAGAAATGTTTATTTAAATGTATATCTTTGTTATTTAAATCAGTGTTAGAATGAAAAAAATTTATTTTACAGGAGGCCGCTGTGTTTTGCTTCGAAAAGCGATGCGCCGAGAAACTTCACAAGCCAAAACGGCGGGAGACAATTACGGAGATACTGAGGTTCAGTGTCCGGCAATTGGACAGGTTCAAACACCCCAAAATGCTCACTTTATATCATCCCATAGAAGAATCCAGGTAAGTGAGAAATTACACACTTTTTTCCAATTTCATCTTAAGCCTTTTTAATTACGATTTTAATATTTTGTGAAATTCCTGTGATAGCAACAAAGTAACATTTTTATATGATTTGTTAAATTATAAATGCATTCTTAATTACAATTTATTTGAACTATTCTGAAAAAAAAGTAAATACATTTTCAAAATGCTATAAAATGTAATAAATTTCTAAACGTTCGTAATTTTGCTGTGAATTACAATGCGAAAGAATGACACGCATTTCTGTATAGGAAAATGTTTGTGATATCAAAAGATTTTATTCACGGTTTAGACGTACTAAACAGCCATAGTCACAACTAATTTTTCTCTGTAAATTAAGATTTTTGTTTTTTTTGTATAAATTTCGTTTTTATAAAGATTCTAAAGTGCTTATTATTGCAGAAATAAAAACGCAATTGTTTTATTTTTACAATAATCATAACATTAATGTCAGTTTATAATAAGATGAGAATAAATTGTAAGTCATAATTTTAATGTGATTCACTTGAAAAGCGTACGTACATAATTTTAGCATAAATCGAAGATTAATAATGGTTTTTATTCAGGTGACTATCACATCAAATATATCTTAATCAAAATATATTTTCAGTAGTTGATTTATTTGAAATGACGAAGTGATGATGCATACGCATGTAGCGGCGATAGTGTGAGACATTTCCATTTCATTTTCTAACAAACACACTCATTTGATTTCTCGATACAGATTCAGTTTGATTCAGATTTATTTCAGCTTCATTCTGTTTGGTTGTCTAAGCTTCAGTTCGTAATTTTAAAATTATTATTGACTGAAGCATTATAAACGTACCTGCACTACTAACCTTTTTTTTTTTTTTTTTTAAGAATTCGCTTTTAACGAATTAATTAACGAATTTTGCTCGGTCTGAAGTAACAAAAAATTCTTCAAAAGTTTTAAAACAACCTTTTTATTATATCAGAACTTGAATATGGAATGCAGGTCTCGTACTAACCACCACCTGTGGCCATGAAACTTAAAGTAATAGTCTCAAAAGTTAAACTAATTCTAATAGTCAAAAACTGTACGTTTGATTTAAAGATTAAAACACACTCTTTCTTAATATTCAAGGCTTTTGAAAACAGATTTGCATTCTGGTGAGGAAACTGAAAAGAAAGTGATAGTAAACCTGAAGTTATGAATAACTGGTCACATAAAATAATAATGAACCTGCATATTTATCAGTACTTTTGAATATATGAACAGGTACGGAAATGTTCGGCATTTAATTTGCTAATATCAGAAATGTTTGCTTAAAATATTATTTTATTTTTAGTTAAGTACAAGTGCAAACACTTCGCTTTTCAAAGTATGTACTGCCCTTGGATACAATAAAGAAATTTAAGACTAAATATCTCGGTCAATTTCTGTCGCACAGAAGTCAAAAAAAATTTTTTTTATCGTGCTTATGATGTATGTAATATTTTCTTAAATATTTTGATAGGGACCGGATTAATGTATGAAAAATTAAATTTCATACATTTTCAAAAACTGATTTTTATTATATCAGAATGTTAAAACATGAAACTTTAGGTCATCGAAACCAATTTGTAATCGAAACGTTATGTCTACGACTAACTGTTTCGAAAAGAAAGACTCGGTAAGGACTTTTGTCCAAGGTTAAAGGTTAACTTATGCAAGAATAGATTTATTTTATATGGGAAGCGGTGGTACCGCTCTAATCTCCGCGTTGTTAATTGCAAGCACGAATTGTGTCATACATGTGCCATATGTCATTTTGTGTGATGAAGTTCCTTTATTGTTTCACTTTATTAGTCTAAGCAACCTTTCGTACTGGTTGTGGATGAAGATTAAATTGTCCACTCATGTCCCATAAGTAGATTCAATCATGTCCCATATTCTGATGGCGGTGTTCGATGGAAGAAAGTGATCGCAGACCAAGGTAACATATCGACAATATGTAGAGCACGTTGGGTTATAGAAGTGGTATGGGGAAGAGCCCTATCCTGTTGAAACGTACACCCTGGAATATATATTATGAATACGAGCACAATCGGAGCAATCAACTTTGCTGTCAAAGTGGGTGGGATAACAATGAGTCTGTCTCTACTCCCATTGCTACCCAGACCATAACTCCTGATGTAGATCCAGTGAGTTTACGCCGCAGACACCTTGGTTTCAACCGCTCACTTGGCCTCTTTCTGACCAACATACGACCATAACTGGCACCAAGACAGAAATAGCTACCATCTGAGAAAACAAAAGATTTATACTCCGCCTTCCAAAAAGATCTAGCTTTACACCACTGATGAAAATCCCAGATGAGGTGATTTGGTGTTAGTGGTATGATCGCTGCAGGGCATCTGACTTGGAGCTGTTTCTCAAGTAATCGCTATTTTACACTTCTCTATGTACCTCTGAAATACTCGAAATGTCTGCTGCAGATACCGTGCGATGTGCCACACATATATGGTGGAATACGGCAGTCTTTCCCTTTGAGCTTTGTCGCTTGTGCTGCCGGTCCAGAACCGGTGACCACTGCTATAAACACGCATGTCCAGTGACTACATCCCTGCCATGTCCTTCTCAATATCATGGAAAGACAATTAACCTTCTCGTAGCCCTCTTTCACGGCCTCGTTTAAACTCAGTAATACTGCAATCATCTCCTTAGCGTCTTTTTGATTCACATCTCGCTGCAGATGCCCAGAAGATAAATGAAGTAATAAAGATTACACCACATGCGTAAAGCAAATGGGATTTACGTCTTCATAGTCTACGTTACTAGCTAATCTACGCTAAGCTTCGCTATGAGTATCACACGTACTCGTCTAGAGTGAAGTTTGAACAGAGATCATCTTCCAGATATGGAAGCACGCCTTCCAATTTCGTTTACATAGCGCAACTTCTTCTTGGTTTTGTGATTTGATGTTCCATCAGTGAATCCATACACATTATTAAAGTATATGGGTTCGTGTGGACCACTCTAATAATTGTGCTAGATGAGCAGAAAGATATGGGCAATTTATTAAATAAATAGGAGTTTATAATTACGTAAACAGCTGTATATGCCTTATAAATAAAATAAATATAAAGCTGATCACTTAAGCACTTGTAAAATATCGCAGATCACATATATCATCCCTAGAGCAATAATCTCTTTGAAATAATAATCCCTGATACTGCCGCAAAATGTTGAATTCATTCAGCTAACTTTAAAAACTAAACTGATTTTCCCAGCTCAAACGTAGTCGTATATTTACGGTTACCAAATGGAAGATTAGGGAAAAATTGAATACCTATTGCTTCGAAAACGCGCAGTCCAATACCATCTAGACAGCGATTCTCTAATCGGTGGTACGCAAGAGAAAAATAGTTGGTACGCAAACAAAGTATTTGAACTAGTAAATTCAAAAGTTAAATAACCCAACATCCTGTTTTTCTCTAACATTCTTAAATTTATGCGTTCTGAGCTTTGTTAAAGATCAATAGCCGCTCATAGACTTTAGCAAAATAATCAGTTTTTATTTTCACAAATATTCTTTTAGCATCATAGACATAAATTTGTCATAAATGATGTTTTTAAAAGGAATAATAGAAATGGTTGTTGTGTTTAATAGGAAATTAAAATATAAAAAGGTAATAGTATCTCATTAATTCTTTCAGGGTTGATCGATTTATTAGCATATCTACACTTTATATTACCATCATTCTGAACTCACATTGCTCTATTTTCAATTAGAATATTTTTTTACATTTGATTTCCTGTCTGTAACAGCAGGTATTTTGTCTTCTTTCTTTGTATTCCTTATTTTCTACACGATTTGAGAACACAGTCGTTTGTTTTGAAAGAACTCGTAATATATTGTGTATTTCAATATTTGTGAAAAATTAATAAAACAAAACTTATATTTTTAAAAAAGGTGATAGATCCAGGACAATCTACTAGCACTAAGAATATTGGGAAGAAAAGAAAAATTATTTCTAGAAAATATAATTAAAGTTATTTATCATTTCGATTACTTAGAATGGCAATGAAATGCACCCTCAATCTCAAAGTGTTGTTTGAGGTGAACTATTATAAAATCAAAGTTTGAAACCATCGTTTCTCAAATGACATCTTGAATATAACCATGCCAATTTAAATGGCAAATCTGAAAAATATTTTAAGAAGAAATTATCGAAGTTAAAAATAGTAAACAAGTAATGAAAGGTTTTGTTACTTTAAGAGTAAAAGTTTTGGAAGCTAGTTACCTAAGTATTGCTAAGACTGGGTAGGCTCACACTATTGAAGAAAACCTTATATTACCAGCAGTTATAACATTATTCAACAAAAATGCAGCTAATTAACTTGATAATATTCCGTTATCAAAAGTAAGTCGACGAATTAATGAAATGGCAAATTCTATGAAAGAAACACTTATTCAAAAAAAATAAATAAATAATAAAACACAGTATTTCTCATTGCATTTGGATGAAAATACTGATATAACGAATTTTGTTGAAATATTAGTTACACACGTTTCAAAGAAGATAAAAGAATCGCCGATGAAAACTTATTTAGTGAATCTCTTCATTAGAACTACTGCAAATGAAATTTTCAAAGCAACTGACAATTTTATGTCTAAGAATAATATTTCTTCGAATAAGTGCGTTGTCGTATGCAGTTACGGAGCTCGGCTTTTAACAGGAAAACATTCCAGTGTTATTTTTCAAATACAGAAAAGTCCCACCTGAAACTAAATTTACTCGCTGCTCCATTTATCAGGCAGCAGTAGCCAAACCAATACCTGAAAATAATTTTGAATCAAGCTGCGGAAATTGTTAATGTTATTAAAAGACAATTTTTAAATTCAAGAATGCTTTGATTTTATGCCAAGGGATGTGCAGTGAATATGAAACGCTTTTGTTATATTCCGAACTTTAGGCGGTTATCCAAAGACAAACTTTTAAATCATCTTTTTAAACTTCGATCAGAAATACAA